AGTTTCGCTCTTGTTACCCAGGTTGGAGTGCAATGGCGCGATCTCGGCTCATCGCAACCTCCGCCTCCTGGGTTCAGGCAATTCTCCTGCCTCAGCCTCCTGAGTAGCTGGGATTACAGGCACACGCCACCATGCCCAGCTAATTTTTTGTATTTTTAGTAGAGACGGGGTTTCACCATGTTGACCAGGATGGTCTCGAACTCTTGACCTTGTGATCCACCCGCCTCGGACTCCCAAAGTGCTGGGATTACAGGCGTGAGCCACCGCGCCCGGCCTAATTTGTACTTCTACCAGCAGTGGATGAGAGTTCCAGTGCTCTGTATCCTCATCAACACTTGGTAGCATCCATCTTTTAAATTTTAGTCATCCTAGTAAGGGTGTAATACCACAAAAGCTTTTTAAAAATGCTACAGATGTCCTGCCCTTCCAGTGACAACCTTGTGTTGCCTGTGTCCCCAACACATTTGATTTAACTGGCTCTCATCTTTTGATTCTTATGTAATAGGTCTCCATATATATATATTTTTTTTCGGTCTCCATATTTTTTGTTTGTATGAGACAGGGTCTGTGACACCCAGGCTAGAGTATAGTGGCTCAATCTCAGCTCACTGCAACCTCTACCTCCTGGGCCCAAGCCATCCTCCCACCTCAGCCTCCTGAGTATCTGGAACTACAGGCATAAGCCACCATACCTGGCCATTTTTTTGTAGAGGCGGGGTTTCACCATGTTGCCCAGGCTGGTCTCAAACTCCCGGGTTCAAGTGATCCTCCTGCCTTGACCTCCCAAAGTGCTGAGATTACAGGTGTGAGCCCCTGCGCCTGGCTGGTGTCTCTGTTTCTTCATGTGAAACTCCCTGAGCCATCCTCAGGTGTAGGCTGTTTATATTGTGTTTGTGGGTATGCACACACGCATGTATATCCTCACAAACAAATACCTGGAGGATGTGACAGGTTTGCATTAGCCTCCAATTTTATACCAGGGGAGACTTGTGCCAGTTGCAGGAGGTCAGGACAGGTTGTAACCACTCCCTAGCCTCACTGGTATCTGGTTTGTCAAAGATAGGCGGTATTAGTAATGGCCGTAAGCTCTCAGTCCTACTTACAAGCGCTTCTTGGGCTCACTCCTCTGTATCACACCCATTTTTCCCTCTAAGCAGAGGTTGGCAAACTTTTTCTTTTTTCGAGAGAAAGTCTCACTCTGTCGTGGAGGCTGGAGTGCAGTGGCATAGTCTCAGCTCACTGCAATCTCCATCTCCTGGGTTCAAACAATTCTCCTGCGTCAGCCTCCCGAGGAGCTGGGATTACAGATGCCCCCCCACCACGCCCAGCTAATTTTTGTATTTTTGGTAGAGACAGAGTTTCTCCATGTTGGTCAGGCTGGTCTTGAACTCCTGACCTTGTGATCTGCCCACCTCCATCTCCCAAAGTGTTGGGATGACAGGTATGAGCCACCATGCCCAGCCAGCAAACTTTTTCTTAAAAGATGGATAGTAGGATCGGGCACAGTGGCTCAGACCTGTAACCTAGCACTTTGGGAGGCCAAGGCAGGGGGATGACCTGAGATCGGAAGTTTGAGACCATCCTGATCAACATGGAGAAACCCTGTCTCTACTAAAAATACAAAATTAGCTGGGCGTGGTGGTGGTGCATGCCTGTAATCCCAGGTACTTGGGAGGCTGAGGCAGGAGAATTGCTTGAACCCAGGAGATGGAGGTTGCGGTGAGCCGAGATGAAGACATTGCACTCCAGCCTGGGTGACAGAGCGAAAGTCCATCTCAAAAAAAAAAAGTAAATATTTTAGGACCATAGAGTCTCCATCACAGCTACTCAACAACTCAACGACTGCTCACAAAAGCAGCTGCAGACAATCTGTAAACAAACGGGCATGGCTGTGTTCCAGTGAAACCTTATTTACAACAACAGGCAGCCGGCCACACCCATCGAGTCCAGCTCCCACTTCGGGATCTGTGAACAGGCCTCCTTCCAGGCCAGGAGAGGGACAGCCTGTCCGGAGCGCCTGAGTGAGGATGGAGGTGGGCACAGGCATTCTGGCCCTGGGCTGGTGGGAACTGTTGGTGGCCTTTGCTCAGCCACCCTCAGGACTTCCAGACAGGCAGATAAAGGCCATGAGATAGGAAGCCTGGGTCTGTGGTCCACACTGTCAGAGCAGAACCCAGCAACACTGCTGTGCAGTGAGAAAGGAAATCCCCACAGCACCCCAACCGGCAATGTTCCCAGCTGGGCTCATGCTGCCTATACCCCTCTAAGTGGCTTGTGCTGTTCCATCTAACAGATGAGGACTGAAGTCCGGGACTGGCCTGCCTGCTGGGTGCTCTGTGCATAGCCATGCACTAAGCATTTGTGGGCAGCTTTCATGAAGGCTTTGGGAGAAGACAGGGTCTGGGGGGAGGAGCCAGGACTCTCTCTTCTGGGACTCCAGTGCAGTTCTTCCCCACCTGTTCTCCAGAGGCTTGTGTAACTAAATACTTTACAGGCCAGACACAGCGCCACACCTCTGTAATCCCAACACTTTGGGAGGCCAAGGCAGGAGAATCACTTGAGCCCAGGAGTTCAAGCCCAGCCTGGGCAACACAGAGAGACTTCATCTCTACCGAAAGTTTTTAAAATTAGCTGGGTATGGTGGTGCATGCCTGTAGTCCCTGGGAGGCTGAGGCGGGCGGATCGCTTGAACCCAGGAGTTGGAGGCTGCAACTCCAACAGTTGAAGGCTGTGATTGCACCACTAAACTCTACCTTGGGCAACAGAGCAAGACCCTATCTAAAAAAAAAAAAAAAAAAAAAAAAGAAATCCACAAACCCAAAAGCAGACAACGGCTGATCCTGTAACTCCGTTCTTTCTCCCAAAAGCCGCTCTAAGCACAGGCAACACTCCTGGTGCCGGTGACGGGTCACATGGCAAATGTCTGCCGACTGACTGAGGGGTGAGGAGGAAGCCTGTAGTCTCTCTTGGACACAGTGGCTCTGTTGAAGTAGGGCTGTTGGTGGCTCCTTCATTCACCACTCCAGTGGAGACCTGCTCTGTACTGGGCTCCGTGTCCGATCTGGGGATGCTGGGTCTTGGGTCCTCAGGCAGCCCACGTTAATGGAGAGACAGACTTCATCAATCAGGGAGCCTGATTAACAAAGTCCGTCTCTCCATTAATGGCTGTGACAGGCAACCCCCAAATCCCAGGGGCCCCGCGTGTTGGTTCTCATGTACAACATGATCTCCAGCAGGGCTGGCTTGGGCGCCTCTCCTCCTGGCAGTGACTCAGGGCCCAGGCCCGGCCCCACTGGGCCTCCACCTCCCTGCACTGGAGTCCCCCCACCAGCTAAGGGTGGGCCCCAAGCAGCATGGGGAGGGGGGCTATCCTCAGCCAGGCCTAGAGGGCGGGGTCCTCTCCACTCATGATTCCCCAGACAGGCTTCCTTCCGCAGCGGCACCTGCCTGTCGGGAAGTGCCTCGATTACCATCAGCCTCACCCAGGAGAGCCTCCGCTTAAAAATAAAAGCATTTCGGAGATGACGCATCTCGCCCAGAGAGACTGTTCTCTCTAGGGCTCCCTTCAGCCATCCTACCCCTTGACTTAGTTATTGTGATGGGTCGTTTGGAGCAGGAAGAAAACAGGAGAGTCACACCGCAGCCCGGCTGGACCTTCCCTATGGCTCACTTTGCCATTTCAGAATAAGCCGTTTCACATGTGCAGAAGCAGACTGCGCTGTGGCACCCAACCCCGCATGGTGGCTCATGCCTATAATCCCAGCACTTTGGGAGGCCGAGGCAGCCAGCCTGGCCAACATAGTGAAACCCCATCTCTACTAAAAATACAAGAATTAGCCATGCGTGGTGGTACGTGCCTCACTACTCAGGAGGCTGTAGCAGGAGAATCACTTGAATCCAAGAGGCACAGGTCTCAGTGAGCCGAGATTGTGCCATTGCACTCCAACCGGGGCGACAGAGCCTCTTGTCTCAAAAAAAAAAAAAAAAGATTCTGCTGCCTCAGCCTCCCAAAGCACTGGGATTACAGGCATGAGCCACAATGCCCAGCTTTGTTGAACCTTTTTTTGTGTGTGTGTGAGACAGAGTCTCACTCTGTTGCCCAGGCTGGAGTGCAATGGCACGATCTCGGCTCACTGCAACCTCCGCCTCCCGGGTTGAAGCGATTCTCCTGCCTCAGCCTCCTGAGTAGTTGGGATTACAGGCACGCACAACCGTGTCTGGCTAATTTTTGTATTTTTAGTAGAGATGGGGTTTCACCACGTTGGTCAGATGGAACTGGAACTCCTGACCTCATGATCTGTCCGCCTCGGCCTCCCAAAGCACTGGGATTACAGGTGTGAGCCACAGTGCCCAGCTTTATTGACCCTTTTAAGGCAAACTAGACATGGAGATGTGGAATCCCTAGACAGGCCGCATCTGTGGCAGGGTAAAGCCACAGGGCCTTTGTCACACCTGCCAAGTTAGTGCTGGCTGAGCGCTGTCACCAATGCACGGTGCATCTTGATTGCTCTGCGGCTACGGTCCACCCTTCAGGGACAGGCATTGTGTTGGATGGAGGCCTCCCCTGCCCTCAGATCCTATCTGAGTTTTCCCATCTTGGCTCTGTCACCCAGGAGGATTCAGGCCCACAGACGTCTCCCAGGGCAGCAGACACCAGGAAAGCACGTGGGCCACGTCCTCACAAGCGCTGGGTGCCCTCCAGCCCGGGGGCATGGACTCCTGTTGGGCCAGCCTCTGCTGGAGGTTCCTGGCACCCCGTGCAGAGCCTGTGTAGATCCGCTTCCTCAGATGTCACGGGGTGTTTTGGGAGAGCTCTGCCTGCAACCGGGCAGGGGCGGGGTTCAGGTGATGATGGGGTTAGGTGTCTGCACGGAGCCAGCTGTACCTGGGGTCTCCTCTACGGCATGCCAGTGGCTCCTGACCCTGACCCCAGGCTCCGCCCACCCTCCCTCCGGGGTCCCTGGGCTGAGCCTCTGTGAACGCCCGGCTTTTCCTTGCAGATCCTGACTGGGCCTCCTACACCCTGGGAGTGTTCATCTGCCTGAGCTGCTCGGGAATCCACCGGAACATCCCCCAGGTCAGCAAGGTCAAGTCCATCCGCCTGGATGCCTGGGACGAGGCCCAAGTGGAGGTACGGTGGGGACGGAGGAAGGGAGGAAGGGAGGACCCCCCCACGAAGTCTTGCACCACAGTCTGGGCGGCCCCAGCTCTGGCCTTTTGAACCACAGGTGCCCGGCAGTCTGGCTCTGGCTCCCTGGGGCCTTGAGCTGCTCTGAGGGGCCCGGCTGGCTGGCCCCGAGGCTGCGGAGGCCAGGGCAGCTGCAGGACCGGGACCCCAACCCCTCTCCTATGGCTCCTCCTGCGTGCTACTCCTCCCACCCCGTGCTGGGTCCACCCCTCTGTGGGCAGCTCCAGGTGTGTGTGGTGGGCCTAGAGTGAAGGCAGCAGCTGATTCCCATGCCCTGGAGTTCCTGAGCACTCCCCTCAAATCCCCACACCTGGACAGAGTGAGACCCTGTCTCTAAAAAAAATAAAAAAGAAAACAGAATGCATCGCCCCAGACCCATTCAGCCCCACCCCGACCCCGAGTCGCATTTCCCAGTAGTCCCCATGTACCCCAGCCTGCTGCCGCTTACGGCTGGATGACCGGTCCCCTGGGCGGCCTCTGAGGTGACAAAGCCACCGCCCACCTCTCAGCCATGCATCTGATAAAGTTTCACAAAGCCCTTGCCATGGCCAGGCAGGGACAGCAGCCACAGATGCCTCTTGGGGCCCTAGAGACGCCCCTCTGGGGAGGGAGATGGTATGAGCGACCAGGAACCTGGCGGTGCAGGGGGAGCCATGCAGGCTGGGGGTGGCAGGAAGGGCCGCATAGGGAGACTCTGAGGGAACTGGAGAAGGAATGAGGCCCCGGTGGGGGTGGATGGGCTGCAGCTGGGATGGACCGTGAGGCCTGAAGACCCGGGTGGGAGGGTTGCTCCAGCCCTGCTCATGGGGCTTCGGGTCTCAGAGCCACAGATCTGCCTGGCTGCTGGTGAGCGGGACAGAGGGGCTGTGTGGAGGTGAGAATGGTGGTCCGGGGGCTGCTGTGGGGATGGGGTGGGTCGTAGAGGCAGGTCGTCCCCTGTGCTCGTCTTCCCAGCTCTTCAACACCACTGACCCCTGCTCCCAGCCCCAGCTCTCCAGGACCACTGACCCCAGTCCCTGCTCTCCAGGACCACTGACCTCAGCCCCTGGCTCTCCAGCACCACTGATCCCGGCTCCCCCTCTCCAACACTACTGACCCTGGGCCCCCTTCTCCAACACCACTGACCCCGGGCCCCCCTCTCCAACACCACTGATCCCGGCTCCCCCTCCAACACCACTGACCCTGGGCCCCCTTCTCCAACACCACTGATCCCAGCTCCCCCTCTCCAACACCACTGACCCCGGGCCCCCATCTCCAACACCACTGACCCCGGGCCCCCATCTCCAACACCACTGACCCCGGGCCCCCCTCTCCAACACCACTGACCCCGGCCCCCGCCTCCAACACCACTGACCCCGGCCCCCACTCCAACGCCGCTGACCCCGGCCCCCCCTCCAACACCGCTGACCCCGGCCCCCCCCCAACACCACTGACCCCGGCCCCCCCTCCAACACCGCTGACCCCGACCCCCGCCTCCAACACCACTGACCCCGGCCCTCCCCACAACACCGCTGACCCCGGTCCCCCCCAACACCACTACCCTGGCCCCCGCCTCCAACACCACTGACCCCGGCCCCCCCTCCAACACCACTGACCCCGGGCCCCCTCTCCAGCACCTCTGCCCTCCAGCCTGAGAGACACAACAAGATCCAAGGACAGCAGAGTCCCTGACCCACCCAGGATGACCCCAAATCAGCTTCTTCATTTAACACTGTGATCCCCCATACCTTGAGTCGAGGGGGTTCCTGTGAATCCCCTCAGGACCCCGGCCCACCTTGGGCTCACCCCCTCGACCCCCTTCACTGATCGGAGGGGACACTTGGGTTGTGATACCTGTCCCTTTGCCAGGCCGTGAGTTTGTCTGAGCCTCTGTTTCCTTCGGTAAATGGGCAGGGTGACTCCTGGACCATCCCCCTCCCTGGACAATGGAGGACCAATGGCCAATGTCAGATGATAGGGCAGGTGCCCCATCTCCAGGTACCTCTGCCATCACTCCTGAAGGAAACAGCGTGGGTACCTGTAGGGCTTATGGGGGCGTAGACTCCTTGGGCTCAGGGAGAACACCTGCTCATTGTCCCCATAATTCCAGGACAAGCAGGGCAAGGGCCCAGGGGTGGGGTGTTCACTGTTCTTGGGAAAATCCCTAAATGCCATCAGTGGGAGAGGATGGGGGCCACCTGGGTGCCATCCAGATCTCATGGGGTAAAGCCCGGAGAGGAAGGCTGGGGAGGGCCCACCACGTGTGTTATTAGGAAACCCCTTGGCTGGGTGAGGTGGCTCAAACCTGTAATCCCAGCATGGTAAAACCCCATCTCTACTAAAAATACAAAAATTAGCCAGGCGTCGTGGCAGGCATCTGTAATCCCAGCCACTTGGGAAGCTGAGGAAGGAGAATTGCTTGAACCCAGGAGGTGGAGGTTGCAGTGAGCTGAGATTGTGCCATTGCGCTCCAGCCTGGGCAACAGAGTGAGACTCCGTCTCGAAAAAAAAAAAAAAAAGAAACCCCTGATTTCTGCCGCAGAGATCCAGTGTGATGGGGCCTGCGGGGGAGCACCAAGCTGGGGCCCCAAGAAGATTCCATCCCTATTCTGTTGTCTGCACATTCACTTGCGCGATGAAAATCAAAGATTAATCTCAGGCAGGCCTGGGAACTTGGCTCCTGAGAGCAGCTGCACCCCAGCCGCGGGCAGAGCTGGGTCTCAGCCTGGCTTCTTGCTGGGGGGTCTGTGGGGCGGGGGCTGCACTGGGCCTCCTGTGGCCCCCTGAACTCAGGCTCCTTGCCCCTTCCTGGGCTGGTGGTCAGCTGGGGCCTCTGGGGGCTCCCACTCCGCAGGGAGAAACAGGCCCAGGGTGGCCATCACGGAGAACTGGACCGAGGTTGTAGGGCCAGGAACCAGGGATTCTCCTCTTCTTTCCTTTTCTTGACATTTTATGTTTTTTTTTTTTTCCAATTCTTTTATAAAACTTTTAAAACAACTGATCCATTGAGATGCAATTCACAGCCATACCATTCACCATGTAAAGTGCACAGTTGAAGGGTTTTTAGTGAATTCACAGAGTTGTGCAACCATCACCACAGCCAATTTTAGAACATTTTCATCACCCCAAAAAGAAACTTTGTGCCTTTTGGCTCTCACCCCTTGCCTAGCCACCAATCCACTTTCTCTCTGTATAGATTTGCCAGTTCTGGACCTTTAAAAATGGGATCGCTCGGCACCAGGTCCCGAGGTCCATCCACGCTGCAGCCCACGGGAGAGCTTTGTTCCTTTCAAGGCTGATAACACTTCCTTGTGTGGATGGAACACGTTTTGTGTTTTCATTCACCCTCTGATGGACACATGGGTCGTCTCTACCTTATTTAATGTATTTTGACTATTTAGTGACACATTCAGCAGGTTTCAAGGGCAGTTGCAGAAGGAAGCAGTCTCCTTCCCTGTCTCCCTCCTCTGAGTGCCACTCCCACCTTTGCCAGGCAGCCAGGGGTCCGCGTGGGCCTCCCTTCCTCCCTCCCTCCCTCCCTCTTTACATTCCCTCCCTCCTTATCTTCCCTTCCTCCTTCCCTCCCTCCCTCCTTTCCTTCCTTCCTTTCTCTCTCTCTCTCTCTCTCTCTTTTTCTTGTTTTTGAGACAGGGTCTTGCTCTGTTGTCGAGGCTGAAGTACAGTGGCCATCATAGCTCACTACAGCCTCGAACTCCTGGGTGCAGGTGATCCTCCTGCCTCAGCCACCTGAGGTGTATCTAGGACCCCAGGCATACAGCACCATGCCTGGCTAATTTATTTATTTGTTTATTTTTTGAGATGGAGTCTCACTCTGTCACCCGGGTTGGAGTGCAGTGACGCAATCTTAGCTCACTGCAACCTCTACCTCCCATGTTCAAGTGATTCTCCTGCTTCAGCCTCTTGAGTAGCTGGGATCACAGGTGCATGCCACCATGCCCGGCTAAGTTTTGTATTTTTAATAGAGACGGGGTTTTGCTATGTTGGCCAGGCTGGTCTTGAACTCTTGGCCTTAGATCATCTGCCCACCTTGGCCTTCCAAAGTGCTGGTATACATATGTGAGCCACCGTGCCAGACCTGGCTAATTGAAAAAAATTTGTAGTGATGGGGTGTTGCTGTGTTGGCCAGGCTGGTCTCGAACTCCTGGGCGCAAATGAACTTCCCAAAACGCTGTAATGACAGGCATGTGCCATGGAGCCTGGCCTAGTGTGTGCTTCTAAGAGACATTCTTTGCCTGTTGGGTGCTCGCGGAGCTCCTCACCCTCCTGAGTGAACCACGACCTGCTTGCCGCAAACCCTTAGGCTGGACAAGCAGGTTGTTTCCAGCCAGTTCCTGCCGTGACCACCGGGCCAGGGAGCAGCCTCGAGGATGCCTGACTTTGCACATTTGGAAGTGTATTGGTGGCCTAAATTCCTAGAAGTGAAAGTGGAAGTTGAAAAGTTATGTGGCTTGGTATTTCTGGAGAGATGTTTGCCAAACTCCCCACTGTAACTGCTCACATGCCCCCACGCACCATGAGGGTGTTTGCCTCCGCCTCCTCCTTTGCTACCCTGATGGGTGAGAGGTTCTCAGGATCTCTTGTTTTTTTTTTTTTTTTTGAGATAGAGTCTTGCTCTGTTGTCCAGGCTGGCTGGAGTGCAGTGGCACAATCTCGGCTCACTGCAACCTCCGCTTCCGCGGTTCAAGCAACTCTCCTGCCTCAGCCTCCCAAGCAGCTGGGATTACAGGCACCTGCCACCATGCCCGGCTAATTTTTGTAATATTAGTAGAGACGGAATTTTACCATATTGGCCAGGCTTATCTTGAACTCCTGGCCTCAGATGATCTGCTCGCCTTGGCCTCCCAAAGTGCCCAGCCCTGTGTTTTCTTGCTGTGCAATGTCTCATCAAACCTTTGCCTGCCTTTCTTCTGCAATGTTAGCTGTTTTCGTCTTCCAGGTGTTTCTGGTATGTTAGGGAAATTAACCCTTTGAGATATTAAACACATGCTTTTCTAGGTTGTCTTTCGAATTTGCTCATGGTGGTTTTTACCATGGAAATTTTTTACTTTAACGTAATCAAAGTGGTCGACCTTTTTCTTTTGTGGTTTTATGGTCTATAGCATACATAAATAGGCCTTCTCTGTTGCCCAGGCAGGATTGCAGTGGCGCAATCACAGCTCACTTCGGCCTCAAGCTCTTGGGCTCAAGTGATCCTTTCTGCTGAGCCTCCTAAGTAGCTGGAACCGCAGACGCACAGCCCCACGTCGGGCTAGCTTTTGTATTCTTTGTAGAGATGGAGGTCTCACTGTGTCGCCGAGGCTGTCTTGAACTTCTGGCCTCCAGTGATCTACCTAGCTCAGTATCACAAGTGCTGGGATTACAGGTGCGAGCCACCTCGCCCAACCCTGAGGGTCTTTTTTTTTTTTTTTTTTTTTGGAGACAGAGTTTTGCTCTATGGCCCAGGCTGGAGTGCGGTGACGTGATCTCAGCTCACTGCAGCCTCTTCTCCCGGGTTCAAGCGATCCTCCTATCTCAGCCTCCCAAGTAATTGATACTGCAGATGCATGCCACCATGCCCAGCTAATTTTTGTTTTTATAGTAGAGACGGGGTTTCACCATATTGGCCAGGCCAGTCTCAATGAACTCCTGATCTCATGATCTGCCCACCGTGGCCTCTCAAAGTGCTGAGATTACAGGCGTGAGCCACCGCGCCCAGCCTTTTTTTCTACTTTTTCTTTCTTTTTTTTTAAAGACCAAGTGTCACTCTGTCACCCAGGCTGGAGTGCAGTGGCATAATCTCAGCTCACTGCAACGTCCACTTCCCAGATTCAAGTGATTCTCCTGCCTCAGCCTCCCAAGTAGCTGGGACTACAGGCACCTGCTACCACGCCTAGCTAATATTTGTATTTTTAGTAGATATGGGGTTTCACCATGTTGGCAAGGCTGGTCTCAAACTCCTGACCTCAGGTGATCCACCCACCTGGGCCTCTCAAAGTGCTGGGATTACAGGAATGAGCCACTGTGCCCGGCCGAGGGTTATTTTTTAATAACAGTTTTATTGAGGTATAATTAATATACATTTCATTCCCGTAAATTGTACAGTTCAGTCATTTTAGTGAAGCTGGAGCTGCATGGCCATCACCACTGTCTAATTTCAGAACATCTTAATTTCCCAACCCAGCCCCATGCTCACCACTCCTCCATCACCCCCCACCCAGCCGTTACTGGGTGTAGACAGACCTGCTTCATGTCTCTGCAGATTTGCTTGTTCTGAATGTTTCAGACAGATGCAATCACATAATATGTGGTCTTTTTTTTTTTTTTTGAGACAGAGTCTCACTGTGTTGCTCAGGCTGGTCCCAAAACCCCCGGCTCAAGTGATCCTGCCACCTCGGCTTCCCAAAGTGCTGGGATCACAGGTGTGAGCCACCACGTTCAGCCAATATGTGGTGTTTTGGGTCTAGTTTCCTTCACGAGCACCATGCATCCAAGGACCACCCAGATCATAGCTTGTGTCGGAATTGTGTTCCTCTTTTTTTTTTTTTTTTTTTTTTGAGATGGAATCTCACTGTCACCCAGGCTAGAGTACAGTGGCGCAATCTCAGTTCACTGCAACCTCCACCTCCTGGGTTCAAGCGATTCTCCTGCCTCAGCCTCCCGCATTGCTGGGACTGCAGGCACCTGCCAGCACATTGGCTAATTTTTGTATTTTCAGGAGAGATGGGGTCTCCCCATGTTTCCCAGGCTGGTCTTGAGCTCCTGACCTCAAGTGGTCTGCCCGCCTCTGCCTCCCAAAGTGCTGGGATGACAGGCGTGAGCCACCGCGCCCGGCCAGCCTTCCTCTTTATGGCCGACTGACCCTCCATCATGTGGCTTGATCTTATTTAGTTGATCTGTGCTTCTGTTCATGGACATGGGGCTTGTTACCATGCAACTGTCATGGAGAAGCTGCTGTGAACATTCATGTGCGGGTCTTTGTGTCTTCATGTCCCTTAAGGTGCAGAGGAATTGCTGGGCTGTATGGGAACTGTGTGTTGAGCGCTTTGAGAAACTGCGGGATTGTTTCTCACCACAGCTGCAGGTTCCCAGAAGCAGCGCAGGGGGCTCTGATCTCCACATCCTCTCCAGCATGCTTCCCCATGTGGCTTTGATCCTGCCATCCTTGTGGGGAGAGGTGGTAGCTTACTGCGGGTTTGACCTGCGTTCCCCTGACGCCTAACACTGTTGAGTGCCTTAGCATGGGCTGAGTGGCCATTTGTATATCTTCTTTGGAGAAATGTCCATTCAAATCCTTACCCATTTTTAGGCTGAGGTGGGAGGATGACTGGAGCCCAGGAGCTTGAGACCAGTTTGGGCAACAGAGTAGAACCACATTTCTATTAAAACAAATTTATATGTACATATATATATACGTAATAAAAAATATATATGTAAAAATAATTTTAAAATCTTACCCATTTTATTTTTTATTTTACTTTTATTTTTTGGCAGAGATAGGGTCTTGCTATGTTTCCCAGGCTGGAGTGCAGTGGTGTAACCACAGATCACTGTAGCCTTGACCTCTTGGGCTCAAGTGATCCTCCCACCTTGGTCTCCCAAAATGCTGGGATTCCAGGCACGAGCCGCTGCATCCAATGGAGACAGGGTCTTGTTCTGCTGCCCAGGCTGGAGTTCTCAATCTCTTGATCTCGTGATCCGCCTGCCTTGGCCTCCCAAAGTGCTGGGATTACAAGCATGAGCCACCATGCCCAGCAAAGCTGGAGTTCAGTGGTGCATTCGTAACTCACTGCAACCTCAATCTCCCAGCCTCAGGCCATCCTCTCACTTCAGCCTCCTGAGTAGCTGGGACCACAGGTGTGCACCGCCACACCCGGCTAATTTTTTTTTTTTTTTTTGAGAGACAGGGTCTCACTATGTTGCCCAGGCTGGTCTTGACCTCCTGGGTTCAAGTGGTTCTCCCACGTCGGGTTCCCAAAGTGCTGGGATTACAGATATGAACCCCTCTCCCCGGCCAGCCCTTGCTAACTTTAAATTTTAGAACCGGGCCGGGCACAGTGGCTCACGCCTGTAATCCCAGCACTTTGAGAGGCCGAAGTGGGTGGATCACCTGAGGTCAGGAGTTCAAGACCAGCCTGACCAATATGGTGAAACCCCATCTCTTAAAAAAAATAAATAAATAAATTTTAGAACCATTTTTAGGTAAAATAATAAATTCTATTGCTGGTTTTTGACAATTATAAAAAACATGTCGACTTCCCTAAGGAGACGTTTTCCCGCCTCCCTGTGTCTCTGGCCAAGGCCTCCCTGTGTCCTTGGGAGCACCTGCAACTTTTCTCCACAGAGACCTGGGGCGTTGCTCATCCAGCAGCCCAGGCGCCTTGCTCCATTGCTGTTGGAGACGGGAGCTTTCCTGTGATTCTGTCTTCTAAGGGATGGTGTTTTCTATGGAAAGCCACTGGTTTTTGAATTGTAATTTGGTGCCAGCCTCGTGTTGCTTGTGACTTTTCCAGCTGCTCCTCTGAGTCCTCCCTGTTTGCAGCTGGGTGGTCCTGGGAGCAGGTGATGTGAGGGGACTTCTGTTTGGCTGTGTCTGGCCGAGGCCTCAGTTGAGTGGCATTCAAGGAGCTGGAAGGTACAAACAGCAGCTGCCCCGGGGGTTTAGAGCACGGCAAACTGAGCCCTCCCATGACCTCAGGGCTGGTGTGGGGTACAGTGGGGCCCCCTACTCCAGCCTGCCAGCCCTACCTTCCCCACTCAGCATACCTGGCCGGCAGCGGGGTCATCGCCAGGGTCATTGCCAGCATCCACCGACAGGTTGTTTGCATGTGCCAGGAGCACAGTCCGTGTGATGGCCTCCCAGAGCCCTCCCCTCCTTCCCAGCGCTGTTTCCTTCTCCCTCAGCCTGTTCTATGCTTTGTAAACGTGTTCTGGGTCCCTGCCGTGTGTGGGCCTCAGAGACTCTGTCTGGGCTGGGCTGGGTCTCTCGCTCACCAGCCCATGTCCAGCGCCTGTTGGGTCCTTGTTACATGTGAGCTGGGGAGCTGGGTGAACGAGGAACCCCTGCCTCTCTGGGGCAGAGATGGGGGTCACAGGATGCAGCCAGCTCTCTCCCATGGGACGCCTGACGTGGGTGGACTCAGGGATTGAAACAGTGGGGCAGAGCTCAGACCCATCCTCAAGACGGGACTGGCCCCCGGGCCCCCTTTGCCAGGACCCCATCTTTAGGGATGCTGGCTCCTTCCAGTGCCAGGGGAGGGTTGATCACTCAGAAATGGTGTCCCTGGGGCAGGACATCCCATCCTGGTGCTGGTGGAGCCCTCAGAGCCTTGAGTCTGCTGGGTCCCTGTGGTGAGGGCCCCAAGTGCAGCCGGCACCCCTTGGCTGCCCCCGGGACCCCAGGCCTCTGACCCGGCCGCCCCTCTCTTGCAGTTCATGGCCTCCCATGGGAACGATGCCGCGAGAGCCAAGTTCGAGTCCAAAGTGCCCTCCTTCTACTACCGGCCCACGCTCTCCGACTGCCAGTGAGTACAAAGGGGCCTTGTCAGGGCCGAAGTAAACAGCAAGGGGTGGCTCCGAGATGGCCCCGGGAGGACCCGGGAGGGTGGGGTGGTGGGTGCCGCCCACAGGGTTCAGGGAGAAGCAGCTGCAGCTGTGTTCCCCAGACCCCGACGTGCCACCTGCGTCCACTGCCTGCCACTGGGCTTTGCTTCTGGGGTGGGGGGCGGGGGGTGCCAGGGCAGGACCGGGAAGGGCATTCTGCATCAGTAGCTGCAGCCTACCCAGGTTTGCTGGGGCCTTGGGGGTCTCGAGTGGATCTAAGGGGGCCTCCTGGGTACTCCCCGAGGTCTGGGAGGAGGATGGGAGGGGCTGCTATTGTTTGGGGCCTACCCTGGCTCCTCGGGGCAGGAATGGACGTGGGTTCCGGTGGCCCTGTCCGGGAAGCCTGGGACCCCATCCCCTGGGCATCCTAGGGTCAGGGGGTTGTGGAGAGAGTCCTGCTTCGGAACTTCACACAAGCCACCTCTGCCGACACCCGCCCTCCAAGCCTCAGTCTCCCCTTCTGCTCGGCCAGTGGGAATGACAGGTGACAGCCACACAGGGCCTGGCCTGACTGTGCTCACACCGACCCCTCGTCCGTCACAGGGAAGGGACGTGTGGCCCCCCGGGTGCCCTCCGGCCCCCCGAGCTTCCTGTCCGGTTCCAGCCCTGGCTCAATCCCAGCCCCCAGCTGCGCCCGGCCTCTTGTCTACTCAGTAGCCCCCTCTATTGACTCGCTCTGTGAACCCACTCACTGGAGGTCCCACCCCACAGCGACACCGCAAGAATGGGCTGGGTGCAGGGTTTGGTGTGAGCCACCGTACGGCAGGAAAGCAGCGGCACCTGGCCTCCCAGCCCCCAGGGGCCTGAGTGCTGTCGCTGGCTCTGCCCTGACTCGGGGAAGGGGAGGGGTGAGAGAGAGCTGCGCTCTGCCCGCCACGGAGCTGCTGGGGGGACTGCAGTTACCAGAGGCCTTCCCTGGCATCCAGGGCCCTGCCTGGGGTCTATGCCCCCCGCAGTGAGCTCCTTGAGGGGGCAGTGGGGTCAGGTGTCCTCACTGGATCCGAGGGCCTCTCGGAGAATATGGAAGGCGCGTGGGGGTTGGGGAGTAGGGTAGGGAGGAGCAAGAGGGAGGAGGAGGAGGGAGGAGGGATGGACTTCCTGGCTGCTACCCTACAGACCACCCTGAGCTTTTCTTTTTTTTTCTTTTTAACACAGCGATGGGGGTCTCTTTATGTTGCCCAGGCTGGTCGAAAATTCCTGGGCTCCAGTGATCCTCCTGCCTCAGCCTCCTAAAGTGCTGGGATCACAGCGCCAGCTGGCCCTCCCTGGGTCTTGGTGAAGGGCTATCTAGGTTGTCGCGGGGAGCAGGGGCTGGAAGTGTGCTCAGGCCATGAGCGCCGTAGTTTCTTTGCTGCATGTTGATTTGTTATTTTAAAGGTCACCGTGTCCGGCCCCAGTCCCGCCATGTGGCAGGCGTTTTCTTGATGAGCCTCCCTGGAACCTGGAGACAGGTCCAGCTGCAGTCCCCATGTCGCCGCTGAGGAGACTGAGGCTGGCGGCTCAGCCCCTGTGCTCACCTCTCCCCTCCCACCAGGGTAGGCCTGGGGCCCTGGCCCCTTGTGCCTGCATCCTGAGACCTGGGTGCCAGCAGCTCCTCCTCTGCCCCAGCTCTCATGGGAAACCCTGCCCCCGCCCTGCGGGTTCTCAGTATGAATCACGGAGCCCCAGCACGGCTATTTTCGAGACATTATTTTATCACCCCGCCCCCGGCTGCTCTGTGGCTTGGGTCATTGCCTCCCAGTTCCTCCCCTTCCCACTCTCGGGCTGTTCTGAGCCGGGAGCAGAAGCAGACATGGATGTGGGGCCTGGGGGAGATGTGCTTTGTGGGCTGGGGGCTGCTGCTGTTGGGCCCTAGGTGAGGAAGTTCCTGGGGCTGACACCCACCATCTGGGGTGGGGTGTGAAGCCTGTGTGAGCCCTGGATGCTGCGGCATGGTGGGCGGGGCGGGGGTGCAGCATGAACCTGCTGTGTAACTTGGAGGGGGGAGTGCAGCCTGGACCTGCTGTGTAACCTGGGGGCGGGGGAGGTGCAGTGTTGACCTGCTGTGTAACCTGGAGGGGGGTACAGTGTGGACCCGCTGTGTAACCT